TTCAATATATTAAATATATGTTATACTTAATAGAATTGTATGAGTGTCCAATATATAAACAAAAAAACATAATTAATAATAAAGTAAGTTATTTTCTTAAAAATTTGGTTGAATTTATTTAATAAAAAATATTGCTAATAAAAATTTTATAAGATTAAGTATGTTTTTAGTCTTTAAATTTTTGTTAATTTTTATTCTTAGTTCTTAAATATTTTTTAAAATAATTTTAGTCTATTTTTTTTTTAATTTTCACTTTTAATTCAAAAACATTTTCTCTTGTTAATATTTTAGTCATCGACGTCATAATTTTTTGTTCAAGAAAAAAAATTAGGACTAAAAGCAAATAAAATATATTTAGGACTGAAAAAAATTAAAATAAAAAATTAGGTAATAAAAACATATTTAATCAATTTTTATATAACAAATGCTTCTATAATATTTTCCATTTCTAATTATCATATTAAAATTATTTATCAAAGTTTGTCTTAAAAAACATTAAAAATTCTTTAACTGATATTCTAACATGAGCTGTTAAAAAAATTATATTAAATTTTTATTCTTTAATCATTACGCGAAAAATGTCAGTAGCTAGTTTAATTGCGAAAGGTTATATATTTTTATTTATCATAAATAGTTTTTAGGGATTATAATTTTTGTTAAAATGTTTCATTTCATTTATCCCGATAAAAGATTATAAATGAGATTTTTCAACTAAAATATTTAGAGTAAATAATACATGCACCCCCAATAGTATAAAATATTTTTTTTAATTTTCATAAATTTAAGTTAGTATTAAAAAATATATTAGGAAGATTGAGTTACAGACTACTAACATTTGTCATACACATATTTAACAGCTGTACGAACACAAGTGGACAAATAATTACAGCTATTCTAATAAATTTCTCTTATTTGAAATCTCCCCCTCGCACTATTTTTGTGCGTGAAGCCATAATCTTAGTTTAGAAGGCGTGACCGATCACGGAACGCCTATGACAATCGTTGCAATTTTAAGGGTTTTACAAGCTAATAGGTAATAGAAAAATTCTACAACCTTCGAAAACTTATTCCAAAATACATTCCGAATCTTTAAAAAATTAATTTAAATTATAAAATATTAAATTAAATAATTATTTAATAATAAAATTATTAAAAAGTATTAATATTTTAAACTTCGCATAGTTTTCGGAGGAGTTATAGCACTCCTCTAGGTAATAGCCATAAGCCAGTGCCATGAAGCCACTTACCGGCATAACTTGACCCACAAATAATATATCCGATTTCAATCTTTTAAAGGCCCTGTACGTCTCATAAATTAGTAGGTCCCTGACTCCCAATTTCTGTTATCGTCCGCACTATTTGAATTGACTCACTAGCAATAACCTAAAGGGCTAAGGTGCTATGTCATTTCATCTTAAATGATAGCATATGGGTGAACGAAGTCTTGTACATATCTCATTTTGTGTGTATTGAGTGAACATCTCACTATTTTTTAAAATCCCAACATTTATCAACTTGCTTTTATATAATTTTTTTTATATAAATAAATTATTAAAAGGTGAATTTAAATTAAAATTATGTAATTTAAAAACTGTTTATGTAACGATTCCGACAAGTCCTACACTTACTATAATTTAGTCTCAACGTAGCAGAAATAAAGAATAAGCACTTAACTGTCCTATGATTAACAAGCACATTGATATATGTATAGAGTAGGGAATAAAAAACATAACTTGTACACATTATCTACATACAAAATATATTAGAGTATATAAATAATCTTATTCGTCGGTCAAACAACTATATAGGACCTAAATAAAACAAAGTAGCCTTGACAAAATGAGTTATCATCAACATGATTTATCACCTATCCAACCAAATCATCCCGCTAATCCTATCTCACTCTCATACCAAGTATGATAATTGCAATTTCAACTACAAGGAAAAGAAGGGCAAACTTGTGAAAAGAATCAACATGCAATACAATATTGAGTAACAACTTAAACCAACTAAATAACAACATTTAACTTAACAAACAACTTCAACTTATCAATGAGTACTACACAACCAACTTGCAACTTATTACAACATATAGGAACTTCAAGATATTTCATTCTTAATCATCAACATCAATATTTAACTAATGCAATGCATATCAACTAAGAGAATCTCTTACAATAAAAGTGAGCAATCTAAGTGGCTAGATCTTATCGAATCACATTGTTTGACTTATTGTAGCTAGGTCAAGTAAAGATAGCTTCAAGCCTCATAGAGAACCTATTTAACAACTTAATTTGACTTTTCAGGTTTTATCATTTAAACTAAGAAGTCTAGTATTATTGTCAAGGTATAACAATTTAGGTATGAGTCTATCACAACATTAACTTGCAATACTAAATCAGCTAAAGGATTAACTCACCAACTATCTTCTAAGTACTATACCCTTCCAATACTTGATTAGGGACTAAGTTTCTAACTTTGTATTTTACTCGATCGATCACTTTATACACATATAGTTCGACCTTACCCACATATGGATACCACATAAAATCAAGAGAAAACAACTTAAAATATCTATCAATTTAGAAGCCAACATACTTACTAAAAGGTTTTAACCTGAGTTCTTAGAGTACTAAAACTAAGAATGGGAATAGGTTAAGTTAGTCCAGGCTTTGAATATATAAGCTAGACCTATTTTGCAAAATTAAAGTCTAAGTCTAACCTATCTTCTAGCATAGCTTTTTTTATAGGTTTGACCTGCCCTATTAGCCCATTTTTATTTAAATTATTAATGTTAATTAGGTCAATAAACTTAATTTTTAAAAATCAACAAAATTATTTTTTAAAATATAGTTTACTCAATATTATTTAAATTTAAATTTTAAAAAAATATAGGAGAAAAATTGAATCATTTTTTATTGAAGGAACAATTCATGTGTAATCATGTATATTGATAGACACTCATGCACAGGTCATAAACTTATAAACTTATGATAAAAAAATATATTTTAAATATTGATAGTTTATTTTTATTATATAAACTTTTTTATTTATTTATATTTTTAATAATATATATATATATATATTTTTTCTATAAGTCTAAGCCTGACCTTTTTATATAAATAGGTTTTTTTTAAAAGCCTAAACCTGGTCTCTTATTAAAGAGGTCAGGCCAGGGGACCCTATTTAAGGCTTGACCTATTCTCATCCCTAATTACAACGTATATCCATACAATGTGATATTTTAATTTCTAAAATATTTTTTGCTCTCCTCTAATTTTTTTATGTATCTTAATAAATACATGTATCTATACCACATGTTTATCAATTTAACAACTTAATTAACTTGTATCATACAACTTTATAACTTAAACATCTATCAACTTACAACTTTACAATATAAGCATCAATATACATTATACCAACTTTACATCATAATAATTCATCATCATATCATCTTCATCATACCACTTAATCAACATCTTTCATCATAAACAACTTAAAGACATCATATTCAACAACATACAATCAATGCCTATTGTCGTCCTTTAGTTACACAACGCCATTAAGATAAGGGATTCTCTGTCTCACCTATGCCCAACGTCAAACCACTTGCGTCCAATGTGACTAAGGTAGAGAGTCTCTCACTCTTGACATGACAAAAGCCATTCAGGCTCAAATCAAGTAGAGGGTTGTTGCCTTGCTCACACTCGACATCAATTAGCATTCGACATGGATCTAGGCAGAGCAATTTTTCTTTCACGCTCGACACCATTCAAATCACACCTGACGTGATTTCAACTTGAAACGATTCTCTCTCCCCACACCTGACATGAGCAAGATGAACCCTTCTAGTTGAAGCCATGTCTGACATCACGGAGGCGCATCCAACATGATATTAGTTTTACACATGCAAATTTGCCAACTCCAACTAAAATCCAATATCCAACAACATGCACAACAAAATTCCACCATTAAAAGCAACATGCATCCATCACAAACCAAAAATCAACATATATAACTCATGAGCAACTTCAAAAGAGCAATCACAACTCATCAATCATTGCCTCATGAATTCAATCTGTTTTCACTGCAATTAGAGTGACTCTAACATCAACAAACAACATGCTTCAATAATCATTTATCACAAAGCTTCCCTTATCTCTTGTTGATCCAAATTGACAAGAGGAGAAGAGAAGGAAGAAACTTCATAGGCATCTGACTTGGGGTTTCTAGGCTCTGCAAACTTTGAATCACCCATTCAATAAGTCTTGATCAACTACAAGGAAGATAGGAGAAGGATTTTAGTAGAAAAGGAAGAGAATATTCACTCAAGTTCAAAAGAACTTCTTACTAAGTTTTCTTAAAAATGAACTTACGATGTTTATATCTTAAGAAAAACCTTTTATACCATTATTTAAGATAAACCAATTTAACTCTAACTTAACACCTTAGAAATAATCTAAATCTTAGAATCCCTTGACTCTAAAGTTCTAAAATAGTAATACTAACAATAATTAACAATTAATCATATAATTAAATCAAAGTATCTCAAAATATACAGTGTTACTATTTAACTTTAATTAAAAAGTATAAATTTTAATATAAAAATATGATTTAATATATATATATATATATATATGTGCATTCCCAACCAAACAATCAAATGATGTGAATAACTTTAAACTAAAGGATAAGAAATTCATGGACCAGATTCTTGAATATTGCTGTACTTCTGGCTAAATTAAATAACCAATTTATCAGTAATTGGGTGATCTGTACCTGAAGTTTGTTTGGTTTCTTTTGCAATTATTCCTTTTATTTTAAATTAGTTGTCGTTTAAATAGTATGTACATTTAGAAAAAATATACTAATTTTTATGATGAAATAATTTTATTTAATTATTTTACTTGTCAAGCTTTTCAGGTTTGTATCCTCTAACAAAACCGTTAATAATGTGAATCCGTATCCGTGATATTTTTTGCACGGATATTGTGCAGGTCGTCCGGGAAATACAGCATTCAGGAAGTGGCGTTACGGTGATAACCGAGGATGATTGCATCTACGAAGCAAATTACGTAATTCTTTCTGTTAGCATTGGCGTTCTCCAGAGCGACCTCGTTGCCTTCAATCCACCCCTGCCTGTATGTATTGCCTATACTCTCTCTCCTTTTCTTTCTGCCCTACGGATGTCCGTAGGTATTAGATAGATTATTATATTCCCGTCGCCTATGACGTGGAACTCATCTGTTGGGATTATGTGGACGTCCCGAACTTATCCACTGATCTTATCGAAGGCATTGCATTGATCTGAGAAGTGAGAATATTCAAGAACCACTCTATAATAACTCAGTAACCCGGTATGATCAACACGGTCAATTAAATTAAATGAAATCTCATTTAGAGTGAGCTTCCGTCAATATATGCAGTTCTACACAGGAATTTCCCTTCTGTTTAGAGATGTTTATGTTGTGGCCCCATGGTCTAATGTCATAAGATGGGAAAATCAAATCAAATATATTATTAATATAATGATAGCTAGGTCTAGGACTAAACCAGCTCTATGATTGATGACGTCAGGAGATAATTTTATTTCAAGACTAATGATCCACAGTCGACTCATCAACAATAGTCTATTAATTCTCAGTCTCACTAGAGGAGGACGCCAGCTTACTGCTTGCATGTGTTAGCCGTGGATTCTGATAGCTGCAAGTAAAAACGATGATGTTAACGTTATCTTTATATATGATAAACTTCTCCATAATTATTTATAGAAGAGAAAATTAAATATTTTTTTGAAATATATTTTAACTTATTCATAAATTAATTTTAATTTATAAAAGAATTTGTTTTGTTTTTTAAGTGATCTTTTTATATACATAAAATTTTTCCCTAGTTTAGGAAAGTTAATTCCTTTCTCATAAGAATGTTTTTGTGAAAAAATGAGATAAAAATGGTTTTCAGGAAATTATATTTCTTGCGAATCTATTTTTTTTAAAATAGTTATCAAATATAGGAAACCAAGATTTTTAACTTAAAATTCTTTGAAAATTATAAAGATTTCATGTATCAAACACTCCCTAAAAGTGATAAGCAACATCCTTGACTAAAGATGTTAATGACAGCAGTGACGAATCCAGAAAATTAATTTAATTTTTTTTATAAATAGAGTAACAATTTCTCCTTTTTATTTTTGTATCAAATATTATATTTGAATGTGACTTTGTAATTTTTAGTGACTTATTTAATATTAGAGGAACAAATTGGTATATAAATGAATCATATAAAAAAATATAGTAAACTCTTTTTTATTAATTTATCCAATATGTAAAACTTCAGAATTTTAAATTTAATACATTGATAGTGTAAATTTCTTTAATTTTTAACTATCATTTAATAGTGAATTACTTTTTATCGAAACCTCACCTATCGTCCATGAGAAGCCATATTTTAAAACTGCTTTGAGAGTTAAAGTTTTCTTTTGAAGTATTTAATACAAGTTGTATACTTAAAATCTCAAAATTGATACCAATTAAATTGAAATAACTTGATATTTGATGGTTTTTAATAATGGATTAATATATGTTAAAGCAATAAAGTTAGATATATAATAATTAAGATAGTACTTTTTTTACTCAGAAAATTATATCATTTCATTCGTAGCAAAATTGATGATACATGTAGTTTAACAATCTATTAACGTAATACACATACATTATATCAAAATCAAGCTCAAAGTATAAACCCCACTATATTTTTTTCAGTCTCTTATTCATTAATAATAATTATGCACATTAGCTTCTTTTTATCTTTTTCCAACTTCTTGAGCACAAATCATATATCATTTGATCGAAATGAGGGAAGTGTGTAACAGTTACTTGTTGTATATATAGCGTGCACATGGAATGAATGCCATGTTTTTACTGTTTTACAATCGTCCTCCGTAACTTTTACCACACAGGCACGCACAGTTACTGTTTTACAATTTTGTAACTTGAGTTTCCCACACCTGTCCTCTGATATGATTGGTTCTGGTCGAGCACTCGTAATACTTGGCAATTTAGTTAAGTGATGAACACGATGCATAATGTGCTGATCAAACTGTGCTTGAAACGACCAATGACATCATGATGCCATTTAAATATATTAAAACAAATGAATATAATTGATAGTTGAGACACTTATTGTCTGGTTCCTAAGCCCAGATGAGGTTAGTCGTCAAAAACTCAAAATATTAAATTTCCCTTCAATGATTTTAATACTAAAGTTGGTTTTGCTAAGCAATATACTTGTCTGATTAAATATGTGCATGATAAATTCAATAAATGCGCAGATATGGAAATTGAAAGCAATACAGAAGTGTGATGTAATGGTGTACACTAAAATTTTCCTGAAGTTTCCATACAAGTTCTGGCCAATTGGACCCGGAAAGGAATTCTTCATATATGCTCACGAACAGAGAGGCTACTACACATTTTGGCAGGTTTGTTAGAAAATGTTCTCAACTATGTTGTTTCTTCTGCATTCTATGTTTATTTTGTTTCTCATCCGAAAGCTGTTTTATGTTATTCAATAGATTAAACAAGGAATAAAATTCTCTGAAATTGGCGAGCTTACTGATACTTCAGTTGCATGTTCTCTAGGAAATGATGTGAATTACGAAAACATGATAATTAAAGTATCTAATTCTTGTCCAGCTCACAAGAGAAGGGGAATTTGCTATTATGTGAAATTTTAAGTGCTATCCTCTTAAGATGAACGTACATATCTTAAAGAGAATGATTGGCATGGTGAGGATTTAAATAAGAGACGGGCCCTTCCTGATGAGTTTGATAGAATACTGGTTAATAACGAAAGTTTATTTATTTTTAAAAAAATCAAGTTAAAGATGCATATGAAATTATGTTGAGTGGGTTAATGATATTTCAAGGCCATTGACTAACATTTGCCAAAGAGAAATTCTAGTAGTTAATACATTATTCTAAACATCTTGCGCAAAAATCCTAATGCTTCAAGTACAACGTTATTAACTAGTGAACTTCATGACGAGATTATTTGCATTTGCCTTTCGTTATTATTTTCTATTTATTTCCTCTTGCCTGGTTTTAACATATACTAAAGCCAAATGTTATATACAGTAATTTATAAGCTCTTTTGTCTGATATGGAGAGATAGCCTCCCGTGTTCCTAATCCCACCCCCGATTTACGCAAGGTGTCTTTTTAATTTTGTTTTCTGAAGGTGTAGCTTTGACCTTTTATAAGTGCTCACGTTAATAAATACTTTTGCGGCAACTACTTCCATTGTCCTGTTATGATATTATTAATCACATCCTTGTTGGCATAACACGGATATAATAGTTTTTTTCTCCTTGTTACTGTTAAGTGATTCATTATCCTTCTAGGATGTGTGAATTGTTTGATTTCCTCTTTGGAGTTTTCTGTACGAGTTTCGTAATGGGAACTACTAACCAGCCATGATTGATTTCCTTTCCGTATAAAATGGCATGAAATAGTATTTTAAATAAATAAACAATTTACGATGGCGAGAAGAACCTGACCTCTGTATGCATTATGTCAATTTCAGCAGTGTATATTTCTTTTCGTGTCAAAATTTAGGCATTGACATTTTTTCCGTGGGGGAAGGAGTCAAGGAAAGAATAAGGAAATGTGAAAGTGATGAAATGTACTACAGAGATCAAATTCGCATTCTTACAATTTAAGTATCGCACCTTCACCAACTGACTTAACCGGAGAGAATTTATAAATGCATTGACTTTGAATAGAACTTGTAAGATAAATGTGAAAATAACTAAATCAGATTGTTTGGCAACAAATCTTGGGGATTAGTTGTCTATTATCTTAAATTATCAAAATCTTTTCGAGGTATTTCCTGATTTACTGCTTTGTCACCAGCAAATGGAGAATGCATACCCTGGCTCTAATATCTTGGTTGTGACGTTGACAAATGGGGAATCAAAACGTGTGGAAGCTCAATCGGATGAAAACACCTTGAGAGAAGCTATGGAGGTTCTCAGGGATATATTTGGATCAAACATACCCGATGCCATTGATATACTAGTTCCCCGATGGTGGAATGACAGGTTCCAACGTGGCAGCTACAGCAACTATCCCATTATCTCTAATCCCCAAGTAGTTCGTGATATGAAGGTTTGTCTATCATTTTAATTTTAAATATTCATTTACATACGTACACATTATAACTCTGACTAAATTTTAAATATTCATATTATACGTACACATTATAAATTTTCAAGGAGAAAATTTAAAAAAATTCCTTAATAAGAACGAACTTATCATTCCTAAGGTGGTGTATTTGTCTTTATATGTTGCACTACAGTGCATGTGACGACAAAAGAGATGACCTGCAATTTGCATCCAGTCATTGTAAATGTATAATTAATAATCACTCTTCATTTTAAATCTGAGGCCAAGGAGCTTCTTGTCTTTCCAGCTGTTCTTGCGACAAAAACTGACTAATTGTTTAAACTAAGGTTTAATTTATAAATCATCACGTGATATGGAGTGGTGCCTACATTTCAGTTGTAGTATTAGGCCGTGATTGCAGATTGCGTCAGTTGTAAGTGACCTGTATCAACTTGTAGCGTCCCGAACTAACTGCAATTTAAAAACTTTTGATATGTTAGAATATTAAAACAGATGCATTTGTTTTTCTCTGAATTTAATTATAAGGGGTAGACGAGGGCTGGATTAGAGCGATATACGTAAATTTTCCTTTCGAAGCACCTTCGAGAATTAAAATCACATCCAATTGTAAAGTAAATAATTTTATAGTATCTTTAACTTTTGATAACCTGTTGATTGGATAGATATGAAGCCAAATTGCCATAATCAATAATGCAAATATACAATAGTAACCTCATTTTATGTTTAAAATTTGATAATCAAATATTATCTAAAGTGTTTTTATGCTGTATGTTGGTTTTCTATTGTGCCCCTTGATTTGTTTTGTAACCTTGAGTTCTGTGATCATTTCTATAGAAAATATTTATATTTTCTGAAACGTTTTCTGTTGTGTTTATTTGTCCTTTCTGGTTATGATTCAGGCTCCAGTAGGTCGCGTTTTCTTTACCGGAGAGCACACAAGTGAAAGATTTAACGGCTACGTACATGGTGGATACCTTGCAGGTGAAACATTAATTTATCTTGAGGTTTTTTTTTTTTTTTTTTTATCTATAGGAATTACAATTACTTCACTTGAATTTAATTTGTTTTCCTATAAAGGTGATTTATAACTGTAGTGGCACTGACTTATAGATCCAATTTGTGGACATGAATTTATTTCATTCATGAATGCATAACAGGTATTGATTCTAGCAAAGAGTTACTAGAAGAAATGAGAAAGGACGACAGAGAAAATGAGAGCAAAACTCTACTATTAGAGCCCATGCTAGCATTGACCGAATGCAAAATTCCTGGACAATTATATCTCAGGGGCAAGCTTGGGATGGCAGAGGCCAAATTATGACATCATAGACATGAATAGAAACCCTCCATAGAAGATGATGAACGAATCATGACTGATGATAATCATCATGGCCTGGGGGCCAGGGGGTGGTGATACATAGCCAATTCAAGCTTTGGTGCGAATGGAAATAAAATATAGGTTAAAAGAATGCATTAGTCTAGCGGTTAGGCAAAGTTGTGCAAGAAACACTGCTCGGATCTTCTCCCTTTAGTACAAAATAAATGCTAATGGAGCATACTAAGTTATCAATGCTAATAAAGGGAATTAATTGGTTTTAGTATATTTGTCTTTGTTCTCTATAACTAGAAGTAAGATTACGTTGAAAGGATATTCTCATTTCGACTTTTTTTTTTCTTGTCACATATGTCATTTAAGGAAAATACCTTGAATTATTCATAACCCTTATATATAAGTGCAAAATACACAAATTTTCATGCCGAAAATATTTGTATACTGCCGAATCAACGATGATTGCACTTTACATAGCTTCTGAACCATCTCGATAAAGTTAATATTTGTCCTTCAACTGTATTCATCAGATCAACACAATCTGTTTCAGCAATAACAGTCAAAAAAAAAATCAAGAAAACAAAGGTTACAAGTATACTACAGACCAATCGAAAGCAAAGGACCTGAGCTACTCTGTAGTAACTAATTATTAATAAATTTTTGCCATAAACCCTTATTTTATCTAGCTGATAATTGGTAGTTGCAGCGAAAAACACTCCTTTTAAGTATTGATGTAGGATGACAAATTTGTCAGCTATTGAATGGCGTCGCCCTTCCCTTCAAAGCATAGGTTAATTCGAGCTAGCAAAATACCTTTTAAAGAAGATGTTACTCCTATGTCCTATTGTAAATTGACCAACAAATTTGCTTTTGGACCTTAAGAAATTAGTCCCCAAAAATAATAACCGATATTTAAGATTAGTTGCGCTCGAAAAATGGTTTACCTCTGTGGCAGGAGATTTATACTATGCGCAAATCATTGTGTCCAAATGGAAGTCATAAAATTTAAACTAAAAGTTTTTTTAAAAAAAACAAATCAAAATACAGATGAAATAAACGCCAATTTAATTTATCAACCAAAAATTACATTATGAAGCATAATAATTGCTTACGGATAGGCAATGCCTGAATGGCTGTGTAGGGTAAATAATTCACAGTGCTGATCAGGAGATATTTGCTTTCTGCAATGACTGGCATGCTACTGAACCAACAGATGTACGCATGACATGCTCCCCTAGCATTGCAGTACAAGAAACATCTGTCTTAAGATGAGGCTGCACCAATTCCCATATCTTTTTCTTTTGTATCTGCACATTGTCACAGAAGAATAAGATCCAGATAGAAAAACACAGGATGGACACAAACGATCAATTAGAATTTCTCTTGAAATTTCTCATGTGAGAAAAACAATAATCATTATCCTTCCTACACAATTGTTCTTCCTGTCAATTCTTCAATTTTCTATGTTCAGATGCTTAGCTTCTTTTCTGCACAACATATTTAAGCTATAAACATTTTCCCTAC